GACCCCGGGCGGCTCCCAGGACGGCCCAAGGCCCCCCGGTGCCGCGTCCCCAGTCTTGCCGCCTTCGCGGCGGCGGCTTACTGGCTTATCCGCTCTAAAAGCTGCCCAGGGCTTAATTCTTGTGGCATTCCAACCGTGAACGTAAAGTAAACCACTTTACTGTTTTAATTGGAGTACCGGATTCAGCCCTATAGGGAAGGACCAGCCGTTCCCAACTTTAATGGTTAGCACTGTTAACAGGTCGGCCCTAGGTAGATGGGGGAGGAGAGCTGAGGGGAAGAAGCAGGGCAGTCTAGTGGAAGGGACCATGGGCACGGAAATTAGGTTTTCAAAGTTCTGCTGCTTAAAGGGTGTGGAAGCCAGGGCAAGACAGCTGTGATCCTGCTACTGAAAAATACCAAATCAGGCATTAAGTGGATTTTTAAGGAGTAATTAAGTACTCAAAAGTAGTGTTGCTCAAAACAAAGAACTTTGCTTTGTGTGTAGGTATGCAATTGATATTTTTATTTAGACTTCTCAAATCATGTCTTGTAATTCCTTCTTGCGACTGAGTTGATATGCAGATTCTGGTTAATATTTTTTTCCTTCCCACACCCATGTCAGCAATGCTAGATGATACAACATGATTGGGAATGGCTCATAGATTCTGCTTTTGTATCCCCACAGCTTAATTGACATGAGAGGCTCAGTAAACAGTTAATGATGATTTACTCCCATAAACTTTAAAATTATGGCAATAGATATCCGCTACTTCTCCTACCCCGACCCTCCCGCTCTGTCTCACCACTTTGTAACACAAAAACACTGGTTAGTGGTAGAAAACTGTCTTCAAATAGATTCATGTTCTACTCACTGAAGTCCATTCTAGCAGCTTCAGGTGGGCCCCACCTATACACTGGCAGCATTGGTTTGAGGCTGTGAACAAGATGACTCACTTGAAAAGGATAGAGAATACCAAGAGCTTTCACCAAGAAGTGTATATACCTTGGGGTGGGGAAGACAGGGAAGTGATGAGGTGAAGCTCTGGAAAAGACAGAAATCCCATCCCCTCACAGCCATTATCAGATGGAAGACCACACTAGTGGTTAGTAAACCTCTTCAGTTTATCCCAGTAACGTGTGGAGAAGTGCTAATAGAAACTGAAGATCTGATATTCCTCATTGTAGACTAACCTCAGGCTGTCTAATGTACAAAATTTGGGTTAAAAAAAGAGTTATTAAGAACTCAAAACAGTATCAACTTAAAAGTTACATGGCAAAGTATTTCTTATGTGCTGAAGGAACATAAAGGAAAAGGTCAAGAACTCTGAAGGGATAACCTTAAACTTCTCTGTCACCTTACTGACAAAAGAGGGAAGATTGTTTTTGTATCTCCAAATCACTGCAGTACTTATTCTTTAAAAAAAAAAAAGTACTCATTTCCTAGGCTAGATTTTTCACCGAGGTTTCTGTCTTTCTTTTTTGAGACAGGATCTTGCTCTGTGGCCCAAGCTGGAGTGCAGTGGTGCCGTCATAGCTCACTGTAACCTCAAACTCTTGGGCTCAAGTGATCTTCTCACCTCAGCCTCACAAAGCTCTAGGATTACAAGTGTGGGCCACCTTGCCCAGCCTAGGTTTCTTTTTAAATGACATTAGAAACTCACAACCCAAACTGGAGATACAATTTTTCCTTTTAAAGAAAAAAAAAGCCAGGCTTGGTGGCTCAGCCTGTAATCCCGCGACCTTGGGAGGCTGAGGTGAGTGGATTGCCTGATCCCGAGGGTTCGAGACCCACTTGGGCAACTTGGTGAGAACTCATCTCTACAATAAAATCAAAAAATTAGCCGGGTGTGGTAGCGCACACCTGTAGTTCCAGCTACTTGGAAGGCCGAGGCAGAAGGATCGCCGGAGCCCAGCAGGTCGAGGCTCCCGGCCACCGCACTCCAGTCTGGGTGACAGAGTGATCTTCAACTCAAAAAAAAAAAAAAAAAATTAGCCGGGCGTGGTAGCAGCTACTTGGAAGGCTGAGGCAGAGGGATTGCCGAAGTCCAGTGGGTCGAGGCTATGGTGGCCGGGAGCGGCCACTGCACTCCAGTCTGGGTGACAGAGTGAGACTCCAACTCAAAAAAAAAGAAAAATAAAAAAAATTCATGATATCATAATGTAGTGATAAAAGTACCTTCCAAATATTTAATAATTCCAAGTGTCTTGTGAGGAAAAGGCTTCTTGGTTGTTTTTTTGTTTTGTTTTGTATTTTTGCCTAAGTCAGAGAAACTCCTCAGGGTCATATAACTAAGAGCATAAAACAGAACTAAGTTGTTGGTCTCAGATTTTAGGCCCAAGACATTGACTGAATATAATGCATGCTAATACAATGAAAAAATCATAATAGACAAATGTTCATGTTATCATTCTACCTAAAAAAAATTAACTTTTCATAAAAGAAAACAGCAATGCCAAGTTAGCAACTCCATTTTTGGTTGCTTATTTATACAACCTTCAATTTACAAACAACCTAATCTACTCTGAAGGGGGTTGAGGAAAGGACCTATGACATCTTGACTTGTTCTAAAGTTAAGATATTTCAACATTAAATACCACCCTATTACATTTCAGAAATGCATATGCCCTAAAATACATCCATTTCAAGAGCTATAGCAAGAATAACTACTGGGCCCTTTTTCTGAAGACCCAAAATTTTCCTCAAGGAATGAAATTCTGCATCTAATTTCTAATTCTGAAACTAACTCAAAAGTTTACTTATATCTATTTGTACATTAAATACACAGAAGTAATTGAATAATCCTGTTTCTTAATCTAAGCATATCTATTCCCTTAACAAATATCTTGTGATGTATGGATGTGAGATTTCTTTTAAACTTCAATTTAATTTGTGTTCCAAAGCAAAGGGACCGTGCCTTACCACATAACTTATACAAACTTCATTCAATTTAAAGTAAGGATATCTTATGGGTCCACTACTGGAACTTCATAAAAATAGATCTTTTGATTTCAGCTAGATAGCAAGTTTATATTCCTGTTTGAGATTATACATAAGATAAGTAATTAAAGAAATACTCACTAAGTCTCCATGATAATAAATATTCTATTTTGCATGTTAGGTTGAAAGGTGGAAATAGCATTAATATCTCCTATGTTCAAGGTTTAATGCATTTCCATTATACATATCAAATCAACATTATAAGATATTTAAAGTGAGCTTGTTTTGAAATTTCAAACATCTCAAATACTTTAAACAACCGGTTATTTCTAACATCACTTACTACTTTCAAGTCCAAGAGATGCGAATTATTTCTTAAACTGCAATTTAGCTCCATCCTAACATCAAGTACTTTTTCCACTGTTATTTGATCTAACATCTGCTAAGGCTTTCCCAGGAGTTATCTGGTTACCAGTTTCAACTGACTCCTGGAAACTGAATGACTACTTTGGTGGCTTTATCTCGGTAATATTCAAATCTAGGTACACTTGAGAAGACAGAATAAGAAACACTCTCAAGAAGGCTAGGAGTTTTACAAATTACTTTTCAAAATAATAGAAAATGAGGTATCTACTCAGATTGATGTTAATGTTATAGTAAGTAATTGGGGCCAGGCCATAGGATTAAAGCCTACCACTGTTCATTTGCTGATACTCTATAAACTAATCTCTTCTAAAATAAGAGATACTAATACCAAATTGCACTTACAGAAAGACTCCATTGTACTTTGAAGAAAGAGCAAGGGACAAACACTTTCAACAAATACAGAATTAATAAAAGGGTAACAGAATGGATATTATTTTGGTAAAACTCATGGTAAAAGTCACTCTAAGGCTATTTACCTTTTGTTAGTACCACGGTAGATTGTCAAACATTTCTATAATACAGTCTGTAGTTCATGAAACACCTTTAATTGCTCTTTGCTGAAAACTTTCCGTGACAGTACCACCGATAAACCCGAGTTATCTTTACCTTTTCAGAGTAGAAAAAGCAATTTCCTTTAAGGTTTTTTAAAAGCTTATTTTGAAGTAATTTCACAGTTACTTATTTATCATCCTTCCTCCTACCCAAGTGAGACTTGCTATAAAAAAGAAAAAAATCGTATCTATACATACGAGTCAACTCTTGGGTGACAGGGTCATTACCAAAGTCCGATATTTTTAGGTCAACTTGTTCCCTAGTTTTAAATTATAAATATTATTATCACACAAATCAATCTCTCTGCATGACACAGATGGGTCCACTACTAAACTCAAAATGAAGCTTTTATAACTACTATCTTATGAACATGAAGCAAAGCTATATTATTTGGAAAGAGATATCAAAATATTTATGTGCAGTGAAAACTTTAACTGAATTCCCCCCAAGTCTCCATCATCTTTTCAAAATGATGTGAATTTTAAAGCTTAAACCCAGGGTAGCAGATCTCCAAAGGGCTACAATATTCCTATCTGTGTGTCAAATTGATAGGAAAATGGATAGGTTGTATGTTAACAAAATATAGGACTAATTTGTATAGTTTGCCTTAAAAAAAAAAATCTATTGTAGTGATTTAATGCAGGTATTGCAAAAGCATTACGAGCCTCAAGTTAGAAAAAATTTATGTTTCCTTACCCACTCAAGTAATTATAACTGCTGGAAACATGCTCTTAGAGAATTTGCCTTAAACTCAGAAGTTGAGCTGTTTTACTAGAAAGTTAAACAAGTTTGACTAAATTTGGACTCAAGTCAATTTAAAGCTTGCCTGCTGGCGCTTGTTTCGGGTTACTGTATGTCACAAAAAGCTTGTTTCCACACTTCGTTTGGCTATTATAAGGTGACTCCTGCCTCAGCTTTTGTTAAAGACTCATTTTATACTTAACCTCAAAA